TTTTAATGAAAATTTACAGAGACTTTGGATTTCCATTCATCCATTGTTGCACATTTCTCCCTGCCCACCCCTCCTCGCCAAAGATTTTTTTTAAAGTGCTAAAGAGCAATGATGTCAATTTAAAGATTAAGGTGAAACTCATCCTAACTATGGTATTTTCAATTGCCTCCTATACACGTGAAAATTGTAAAATGAACAAGAATGACAGAGAATTAACTGATTCTGGGAAAAGTGGAAGATCAGAAAAAGAGAGGAAGCCTCTCAGAGAGATGGACTGGCCCAACGACTATGCTAATAGATTTTGATGTGGCAGAGATTGTGAGAATGGCACAGTACAGCACAAAGTTTAGATCTTTGCATAAGGTTGCTTTGAGTTATAGGAAAATCGAAGGCACTAAAAACAGCATTATAATATAAACAATGAACAATCGCTAGAATCAACCACAATCTCTAGCTGAGTAATCAATAAATTTCCTTTGTAATTTATTCTAATGAAAATGAGGATTCTATTTGAATCTTCTTTAAGAGGTAGGTAAATTTTGAGCCCCTTTTTCCATATGCATGAAAACAAAGAAAGAGGAAAAAAAAGAGAAAACTGTAAAACTAATTTTTCTAAAGAGCACTCACCTAGAAAGGCTGTCACATGACTTGTGCTTTTTGCAGTATTCATTTCAAGAACAAAGTCAGCATGTGTGCTATAGCCAAGTAGTCTGGCTACTTTGGCCCGAAGAGGAAGAAGTTGCTGCAGAATTATAGTGTTTTCCTAGGAATAAACAACAGCAAAAGGTAATACATGCTAGAATCCAGAGCATAACAAATAAAGTTTATCACATTTTGGGTCGGTAATAATGGTCAATGTTAGATCATTTTAACTTCTGGATTATTCTACAATTTATTATATTAATGTTAATGAACACTTACAGAGATTTTGGATTTCCATTCATTCATTTTTGCATTTTTTCTCCCTGCCCCCCCCCCAGTTCTTTCTTTTCTTTTCTTTTTTTAATTTAGTTTGTTTATTTTTCATTTCAATGAACATCTACAGAGATTTTGGAATTCCATTCATTCATTGTTGTACCCTTCTCCCCGCACAAACCCCTCCCCCCTCTTTGCTCCTCTCCTTGAAAAGCAAAAGAAAAACTCCCTCATTGGTACACAATCCCCCCCGCACCTCCCCAAACCCCACCCCCTACACGCAAATATACACTTTTAAAGACTTTAAGGGGGAGTTTTGCTGTTGTTGGGCATAATCCTACTTCATAGCAACTCCATGAACAGGAGATAGAAAACTTGTCCTATCCTGCATTATCCTTACAATCCCCACCATGCTCAAGCCCACTCTTAAAGTTACTGAATCAATCTATCACACAGAGGGTCTTCTGTTTCTTTCATTGACCCTCTACTTTTCTCAACATGACGTCGTTTTACAAGGATTAGTACTTCCTGATAACATGTATTAATAATTATTGGCCATTGGAAAGCAAAAGTTGGAAACATAGAAGGACTGGTAGATGGAAAATATGACATTAATGACAAAAATGAGGCCACAGACGGCATCATAGAATTCTGTACAAATAATTTGTTCATTGAAAACACCTTTAGAATAAAATAAGTGGTCACTATATACCTGGTTTTAGAACATCAGAGAGCTGGACAATGAATAAGGATGACAGAAGAAGAATCGATGGCTTCAAATTTTGGTACTAGACAAGAGTTTTGAACATATACCATGGACAGCCAAGAAAACAAATAGGTCTTGAAGAGGGCGAAACCAAGTTTCTCCCTGGAGGCTAGGATTTTGAAGCTCCATCTCACATACTTTGGGCATCTGGCCAGGTGAGATCGGTCCTTGGAGAAGGGCATCATGCTTGGAAGGTGGAGGGACAGCACAGGAAAGGAAGACCCCGGATAAGATGGATTGATAACAGTGACTTGGGCAATGGGGGTTGGTGTGTTGGGATAAGTGAGACTGGTTCAGGACAAGGCAGGGCTCAGAGCTGTGGTACATAGGGTTGCTGAGTTGCAGGCTACTTGATGGCACATAACAATGGCAAGACACCTGGAGCTCATATAGTGGTATACATAACAGTCAAATTGACGACCTCCATGGAAAGAAACTGTAGAAAAACCCAATATCAGCACTTAAAACAAGGCTAAAGGATGACTGTGGAACACCAGTTATTAACAATGATGATGTTCAAGTTGATAAAAATGAAAAGTCCACAAGAGCAATAATATGATATTGCACTTATGCCAACTGAGTTTAAAAACCAACTCAAGAGTAGTTTTATACTGAATGCTAATGATCAAAGCAAATAAATTGTGGGATGACTTCAAGAACATCATAGATAAAGAAAAAAGATAAGAAAGAAAAAACAAAGACCAAAATAAGTGTCATAAGATATTTTGAAATTTGCTTTACCACATAGAAAAGTCAAGTAAAAGGCAGAAATGATAAAATAAGAGAGCTGGAAAAAAGATTTGCAAAGGGTACCTCAAGAAGACAAAACACAGTACTGTAATGAAATGTGAAAAGATATGAGTTATAAACTCAAAAGGGGAGAATGTGCCCAGCATTACTCAAGCTGGAAGAATTGAAAAACAAAACAAAACAAAACAAAAAAACCCCATGCCTCAAGTTACAATATGGAGTGATTTTATATATAAAATATTGAAAAATATAGGAAGCATCAAAATAAGATAGAAGGAATAAAGAATCACTGTAACAAAAGAACTGGTCAATGCTGAACCATTTCAAAATCTTATCAAGAAACAATGGCACTCAAGGAAGAAGTCTAAGCTACAGTGATGAAACTGGTAAAAATATAAGTCTCCAGAAATAGATGGAACTCCAGCTGATGTGCTTCAGCAAACAGATGCAGCTCTGGAATGTTCCCAAACCTATAACAAGAAATTGGGAATACAGGCGAGCTCTGGTGGCCTAGTGGCAGGAAACTGCATTGCAATCCCAGAGGTGCGTGGTTCAAATCCACCAGATGCTCTGCTGAAGAAGGAGGAACAATTGCCTCCTGTACCAGTCAGATCCGATTTGACGGTACACTCATAAAAAAAGAAATTGGGAATACAGTTACCAACCGGAAAAGATTAATATTCGTGGCCATTTCCAAAAAAAGGGAAATTCAACAGATGTGGAAATTATCAAAGAATATCATTACGAGGGAATGCTGGTGGCCTACTGTTAAGGAGTCACATTGTCAACCCAAAGGCAGGTGGTTTGAATCTACCAGGTGCTACGTGTAAGAAAGATGGACATTCTCCACCTGGGCGATTTACAGCCTCTGAAAGCCGGCTAGAAGGTCAGCTATGAGTCAGTTCTAATTGAACGGCACATACAACAACAGCATCATTGCCCTCATATGCAAGTAAATCTTGTTGAAGATTATTTAAAAAATGGCTAGAACAGAGCATGTACAGAGGGCAGCTAGAAATTTAAGCTGGGCTTAGAAAAGGCTGTGGAATGAGGGCTATCAATGCTGATGTCAGATTGACCTTGGTTGAAAGCAGAGAATCCTAAAAAGATGTTCTTTGTGTTTTATCGACTAGATAAAGGGACGTCACTCTTTGGATCTTAGTAAATTATGGATGACATTGAGAAGAATAGGAATTCCAAAACATTTAATTGTGTTCATATGAAATCTATAAATAGATCAATAAATGATCATATGAAGAGAAGAGGACACTAAATGGTTTAAAGTCAGAAATGGTAGATGTTACAGTTATATTCTTTCTCTATAACAATTCAGTATGTATGCTAGGAAAAGACTTATGCTGTTGTTGTTATGTGCTGTCAAGCTGCCTATGATTCACCGTGACCCTAAGTACAACAGTTCTGGAGCTTGCCCTAGCCTAAGACACTCTCACTGACTTCGACATACCAGTTACTGTGTCAATCATCTCATCCGGGTCTTCCGCTCCTGCACTGTTCCTCTACCCTCCCAAGCATGATGTCCAAGGACCAGTCTTTCCTGGCCACATGCCCAAAGTATGTGAGACAGAGCTCCTAGCCTCCAAGAAGAAACTTAGTTTCACCCTCTCCAACACAGATCTTTTTTGTTCTCTTGGCAGCTCAAGGTATGCTCAAGTCTCTTCTCTAGCACCACAACTCAAAGGCATAGATTCTTCTTCTGTCATTCTTAGTCTTTGTCCAGCACTCTCATGCATAGCAAGTAATTGTAAAGACCATGGCCTGAATCAGGCACATCTTAGTCTCTAGACTGACATCTTTTCTTCTCAGTACTCTTAAGAGGTCCCTGACAGAAGTCTTTTGGTTTCTTGATTGCTGGTGCCAGCAGTGTTGATTGTGGACCCAAACAAGCTGGACTGTGGACCCGAACAAGCTGGAATTGTTAAAAAAATCTCAATGTCTTCTCCATATATCATGGTGCTGCCAATTGGCTCTGTGGTGAGAATCTTTGTCTTCTTGATGTTGAGCTTCTTCAATCCATATTGAAGACTTGATTTTCTGTGGCAAGTGTTTTAGGTCTTCCTGTTTCAGTAAGCAAGCTGTGTTATATGCATATAGCAGGTAGTTGATGAGTCTTCTTCCAATTTTGATGCCACATTCCTCCTCATAAAGCCCAACCATCTGAATGATCTGTTCTACACATAGACTGAAAAGGTATGGAGAAAGCATGCATCCCTTTTGCACTCCTTTCCTGATTCTGAACCATGAAGTGTTTCTTTGCTCTGTTCTAAACAATGTTTCCTGGTTCAGTGTAGGTTTTGCATGAGCACAGTAAGTGTTCTATGATCTCCATTCTCCCCAAGGTTAAGCACAATCCGCTGCGTTCCACATAGTCAAAAGCCTTTGCATAGTAATGAAACACAGATAAGACATTCCTCTGGTACTCTTTGCTTTCTGCCAAGATCCATCTGACTATGGCAATAATGTCTCTAGTGCCATGACCTCTTCAAAAAAAGAGAGAGTTTGGTGAGAAAATAATCAGAAGAGCTGGCTATGTGAAGCACACTAAATCAGAAGTGAAGAAAGAACTATTAATAATTAGTACATTATACAGATAACACAACTTTAGCTGTAGAGAGTGAAGATTTACATACTGTTGAATCAAAAGACAATGCCTTCTGTATGGATTATACTCAACATCAAGAAAATACATTTTTTCCAACTTGACCACCAAACAACAATCATGATAAATGGAAAAATGATACTCAAGTTGCCAATGAGTTCCTTTTATTCAAATTCACAACACCCATAGAAGAGTAAAAAAAAAAATCAAAGGATATACTGCAGTGTGCAAATCTGTACTGTGCAAATGAACTCTTTAAAGTTCTAAGAGCAAAGATGCTACTTTGAGGACTAAGGTGTGCCAAATCAAAACCATACTTCCAACTGGTTAATATGCATGTGAAAGCTGAACATTGTATAAAGAAGACCAAAGAAGTAGTAATGTCTTTGAATTGTGTTGATGATGAATAGTGAATATACCATCATGAACTGCCTAAAGAACAAATAAATCTGTCTTAGAAAAAGTGCAACCAAAGGACTAATCAGAAATAAGAATGAAGAGACTTCTCATATAGCTTGGGTGTATTATCAGAAAGGGTCAGTCCCCGGAGAAGGAAATCATGCTTGGAAACATAGAAGGTCAGTGAAAAAAGGAAGAATGTCAACTTGAAAGATCAGCACAGAGGCTGCAACAGTACAGCAGAGACTGTGAGGATGGCTCAGGATTGGGCAGGATTTTATTCTGCTGTACAGAGGTCACCATGAGTTGGAGTTCAATAAATGGCTGAACAGATAGTTGAAAACTTCACTGAAAAAGAATTCATCTCTAGAGGAGAATCTGGTTCCTTTCTTAGAAATCTCTTTTTCTTCATTTTTAACTCATCAGATAGTAGGTATATCACCCACTGTAAACTCATCTAAAGTAATTAAAAATAGCACAACTTAAGCATTCATTTGTGAGAGGCAAGAAAACAAATTAAATTTTAACTTAATTGATAAATATTTATGTCTTACTACTAAAAATATTTTGCTGTTTTGGGGAATATACACAGTAAAATACCATTTCAACAGTTTCTACATGTACAATTTTGTGACATTAATTGTACTGTGTGAGTTGTACAATGATTCTCATGGTTCTTTTCTCATTAACATAAATCCACTTTCCTCTAGTATCTAATTTTATGAATTACTGTTGTTACTATTCATAGTTCTTAAAAGAGTATAATGTGCTCTTTTCGCCATTTTCCCAGTTTCGCTGAAGCTGCAGCCATGAAGGTTGAGCTGTGCAGTTTCAGCGGGTACAAGATCTACCCCGGGCACGGGAGGTGCTACTCCAGGACCGACGGAAAGGTGTTCCAGTTTCTTAATGCAAAATGCGAGTCGGCTTTCCTTTCAAAAAGGAATCCACGGCAGATCAATTGGACTGTCCTTTACAGAAGGAAGCACAAAAAGGGCCAGTCGGAAGAAATTCAAAAGAAAAGAACCCGCCGAACAGTCAAATTCCAAAGGGCCATCAGTGGTGCATCTCTTGCTGATATAATGGCCAAGAGGAATAAACAACCTGAAGTTAGAAAGGCTCAACGAGAACAGGCTATCAGGGCTGCCAAGGAAGCAAAAAAGGCTAAACAAGCATCTAAAAAGACTGCAATGGCTGCTACTAAGGCCCCCACAAAAGCAGCGCCTAAACAAAAAATTGCGAAGCCTGTGAAAGTTTCTGCTCCCCGAGTTGGTGGAAAATGCTAAGGAGGCACATAAGGCTTAAATAAAGATGGAGTTGCAACTCAAAAAAAAAAAAAAGAGTATAATGTTCCATGCACACTTTTTTTAAGAAAAATTAAACTTTATGAAGACTTCAGGGAATATATTTGGTTTGAAGTTTAAGATTAACTTAGTAGTTTTAACAATCTCTCAGAAAGGATTTGTCCATCCTCCCTGGAATCAGACAGTATAGAATCTACAAGAACTTGAAATTCTGTTCTGTCTTTTTCTCCTTCTGTGGAATCTATGATCAAAACGTCCAAGAATGGGAGCCAGGCACCATCCAGTTTTTGTTCTCCTTGCAAAGGAGGGAATTGTTCATTGAGGCATTTAGCCACATATTATATATCCTCTTATTCCTGACCTCATTTTTCCCATTTCTTTGGATGATTGCTTGAAAGCTTTTAATATCTCAGACACTATGCTACCAATTAAGAGGCAGAACATTATTATGCCAATTAAATGGGATGTCCTATGAAACTATGACTGTAAAACTGAGGAACCATGAAACCATGACCTTAAATCACAGCTTCCAAACCAAGGAACCAAAAAACCCCAAATCCTATGAGATGTTTGATGAGTGCACGTAAGTATCTTCAGCAGCTACTCCTCCTTTGTGAGCCTAGTCATTGTAAATAAACCTATCACACAATTTTTGCCCGTTAAACTTCTTATATGTGTCCAACGTTTTTACAGCAATTACAATAATCAACTAGGCAGCCTAACCCTCCTTAATGGATGAGATTTTTTTTCATCACCCTCTTCATTCTCCTCCCTTTTGTCTAAGTTAACTACTAATAAACTTTAGCTTTTAGACATTTGCCTAAAACAATTTTTAGGCAAACTTTTAAAACAAATGAAGTCATATAATATTTGTCTTTTTGTGTTTAGTTCATTTTGCTCAGCATAATTTTACAGGCTCCATGCACACTATATTATGTATCAAGATTTCATCTACCTTCTGGCAGAACAATATCCTATGCCACGTATTGCATATATATGTCGTTCATTGATGAGCTCTTAGGCTGTTTCCAGCTTTCAGCTATTGTAAATAAGAGTTACAGTGAACATTAATATAAAATTACCTTTTCAAGGCTTTGCTTTCATGTCTTTTGGCTATATACCTACCAATGGAATAAGATAAATACTTATTTTTTTAAAGGGAATAACTATACCTAGTATAAAGGAATCCTAGTAGTGATTTTATTTTCCTGCTTCGTAATAATACTTAATTAGCTTAACAAATATTTCAAGTAAAGCCTATACATTTCTTAACTTCCCTTACAGCTAGACATAATGCTATGATTGAACTGAGATTAGTGTGAACAGTGAACTGACTTCAACATAGGTAAATGAAGAAAACATTTCTTTTAAAATCTTTTAAAAAAATAGAAGAGTAACGTTCACAATACCATAGTACCTCTTTGCATCTTGTATTAAAAGCCATTTCCATTTTCCTTCTGGTTTCAGAGACACAACATTTCTTCATGACAGGAAAGTAGTGTGGATATTTTAAGGTAATTTTATACTTGTCATCATCTGTCTTTTCTAAACTGTCAAGGAAATCATCAGGAAGAGCACCTGCAAAAATTATTTGGAAAATACATCAATTTTTCCATTTACTACTGGTTTATTTAGTGTTGGCATGATGCCTTGAAGTAGTCCTAGGAATTCTGGAAAATAATTAAAATGCAAGTAAAATAATGACAATCCTTCTGATATAATTTTGAAGTTGCTGAATTGGGGGTGGTGCTTAGAGGCCATGTGGTGTGGAAGATAGTATTTCAAAATATGAATAAACTTTACTGTACTTGTACAGATGGTGTTTTGATGGAGCACAGGCACAAACAAGCCAAGAAATACATACAACAGCACAGAAGAGACTAGCATAAGTTACAAGATAAATGATGTTTTAAGGCAGAAAAAAAAAGCTGAAGCACTGAAGGCTTTTAAATATCAATATAATTTATTGATAAAGATTATGAAATCTCTTTGGGAATGCCTCAAGAAATAATTTAACATTCTTTTTAGCCTAAAATCTAGTTTTGGTGTGGTTTTGTTTTTAGTAGTAGGAATGCTGAAGTTATATACTGAATAATTTTTTTTTAAACAATTCTTCGACTGAAGGTTGTTATCTGGAAATTGAGGATGCTGTAAGGTTATATCTTTAATCTAGAAATAACAAAATTTTACCAAGTTCTGCCTTGGAAAATACAAGGAAGGTATCGTCCTCATTGAGGTTTTTGTTAAAGTCAATACACAGCTCACTCATTCTTTTCTTCATTGCTTTGATTTCCTGAAACAAAGATAAAATATAAGACATTTCATGAGGAAACTGATTTTTAATGTTATCAGTTATGTAAATTTCACTTTTGTATGGAAATTGGCTTCTGAATCCAATGCTTTGAAAGTACTTTGTTCAAGATGTATTTGCTAAAATGGCTTTCTACAGTCTTCTATATCATATGTTTGTACATAGCACTTAGAAAGGCAAATATGATAAAATTTTAGGATTTAAAAGAGGTCAAAAATAAATTTTGGAGGAAGAGGAGATAGAAGATTTTTACCAACTTTTACAATCGGAGATTGATCGAACATGCAA